ATGGCATTCTCCTGATACATAGCACAGATGTTTTGAGCCACCTCTGCTGCCTTTATTTCTCTGTTGAACTCAAATAGGAGACTACATCAGAAGTGTTCATTTTTTCCCACATTTTTTTGATGCTTCCAAATAGAATGCTGATGTGCACAAGTAACTTAAAGATACTTAACTTAAAGATACCCTGCATAGGGGCCAACAACACCCAAGTTATGATGGAAATAGTAGGTCACATGCTAATTTGGAGGCCCAGGCTTAAGCTCTGTCTCTTCTAAGATCACTGGCAAAGCCAAAAGCTGCTTCTCAAAAGAAGAGTTCAGTATTTGCAGAGGATGGCAGGGCAAAATGTGTTTAGATCCACCATTGAAACCAGTCAAATGCTCCAAACAACATCAGTATTTCTCACTGATTGGATCTCTTGGATCATAAGGTCCTAGCATCAGAAAAGATTACATGGCAGTTGGGACGCATTGTGTAGCATTCTCTTGTCTGGGCTGAGTCAAACATTTTTCAGATCACTTAAAAAATGTAGAGTAGCACACAATGAGTAAGTAACCTCCAAAATCCAAGGATGCCCACTCAGCATTTTGTTTCTTTTTTAGTTAAGAGAACTCAGGAGTTACATGTCCTTCATCTTAAAAGAGATATCAATAGGTCCACATCAGTGGACCCTTGGAAAATTCACTGACGTGGAGGTGCCCTGAATATTTATGGGACTTATTCCCTCCCTCTAACTTGAAAATGTCTTTCCAATATGCCTAGATGAGTTTCATTTTCATGTGTTCCACTTTTTTCTTTTGCTGCTGAGTTACATTTTCATATGACTTCTTTTTAATGTTAACTCATTCTGAAGATACTGTAGTAGAAGTAGGAGCCATGGGTAATAGGGAGACTTACCTGTGGCTTCAGGGCCTGTTCCAACCCAATCTCATATAACACTTCCAAATGAAAGTGTATCTTCCAAATGAAGAGTGCTTCACCATGCCTAAACTGTACAATGTAGTTTATTCTGAATACCTGTTCTCCTAGTTAGAGTCTGGAATCTCGGTGCATGCTAGATAGATGGTGTCTACATGATCAGTCCTGATAAGAACCTTATATACAGGCCACTAACGAGCTTCCATTGTAGACATTTCACAAGTACCATCACAATTCAATGCTGGACGACTTAAGGATGAGAGGAGTTGGCTGAGCACGGCGGCTCACACCTGTAATACCAGCATTTTGGGAGGCCAAGTTGAGAGGATTGCCTGAGTCCAGAGGTTCGACACCAGCCTGTGCAACTTGGTGAGATCTCATTTCTATAATAAATAAATAAATAATTAGCAGGGCATGGTGGCATGTATCTGTGGTTCCAGCAACTTGGAAGGCTGAGGCAGGATCACCTGAACCCAGCAAGTCAAGGCTGTGGTGGCCATGAGGTGCCACTGCACTCCAGCCTGGGTGACAGAGACGCCTACTCAAAAAAAAAAAGTGAGAGGACTCTTGCAAGTTTGCAGTTGGTTTCCTTAGATATTGCCCATGAGCCTTTTGACTGATTCTACTTTGTATCCTGTCACTGTGATAGAGCCATGAGTACAACTGTATTCTGCACTGACTTAGCAAACCACAGAACCTGGAGGTGGTCTTAGGGACCTCCAACACACTATACGAATTGAGACAGCATGGATCATATGTACCTAGCATCCTAAGATATAGTTTAGAACATTAAGTATGAAAATATAATGTATCTCTATTATACACTTTGGTGAAGACAGCCCTTTCACCTAATACACGAAAGATATCGCCATGGTGTATAACTATCAAATGGCATTCAAATCAGTGCTTTGTCCTCACTTGTTCCACAGTGTTAAGATGTTCCCCCGCCGTCATGCTGTTTCCTGCCTATGAACATCTATTCTTCAAAGAATCTGTTGACTTTTTTCCCCCCTCCACAGCATATGTATACCCACTTTGTTTATATCTCCAGGAATTATTCACTCCTTGACATTTGCCTGAAGAGCCATTATGTGCATTAATTATGGCAGCTGACCACACTCATCAACTAATCTGTATTCTAACAATGAGATGTTTTGAAATATGATTTCCAGAGTCCTATTTCTTGATTTTGAACTTGTCACATACAATGTACAGCAATCTTATTATAGTTAAGTGATTAACAGTTTTTCAAACTTTTATTGCACATAATTTACTGCTTTGGTAAAGTAGATGTTCACTGAGATGCTATTTTTAAATTATTATTTTTTAAGAGACAGTCTCACTCTATCACTTAGGCTGGAGTGCAGGGGTGTGATCATAGTTCACTGTAGCCCCAAACTGCTGGGCTCAAGTGATCCTCCCACCTCAGCCACCCAAACAGCTAAGACTACAGATGCACACAATCATGCCTGCTAATTTTTAAATTTTTGTAGAGATATGGTGTCACTACTGTTGCCTAGGCTGGACTCAAACTCCTGGCCTCAAGCGATACTACCACTTTGGCATCTCAAAGTGTAGGGACTGCAGGCATAAGCTACTGTGCCTAGCCTATACAAATATTATGCATTTATAATACTTAGGGGAAAAATTGCTAATGCATAGAGAAGAAAATTGAAAAATCCCAGCAAATACTCATTGCCAGAGGAAAATCAGTAAAAATGTTCATTCACACAGTGTGTATGTAAACACTCAAACACACACACACACACACACACACACACATTTGATTATGGTATGAAGGCTACAATCTGATTTCACAAAGCCTACATTATGTTTTCTCCTTTTATTGTACGTCTATGTCATCATTTTATTGTCTTCATGTTATTATATGAGTAAATGCAATTCATACAAGTTCCTGTCCTTGAACTTTTGTTCTTTTCATTTTTTTTTCTTGAGTTGGACTCTCACTCTGTCACTCAGGCTGGACTGCAGTGGCACAATCAAGGCTACCATAGCCTCTATCTACTGGGCTCCATCTCAGCCTTCCAAGTAGCTAGGACTACAGGTGTGCGACACCACACCTGGCTAATTTTTTTTATGTATTGTAGAGACGAGGTCTCACTATGCTGCCCAAGCTGGTCTCAAACTCTTGGGCTCAGGCCATCCTCTCACCTCGGTCTCCCAAAGTGCTAGGATTACAGGCATGAGCCACTGTGCCTGGCCTGTTCTTTCCATGTTAAAATGAAATAACATCATTTTGGTCTTCCACTTTTCAGAGTTTTAATGTCATAATACGAATTTCCTATATATGATTTCCATATCAAATATGCACCTTATACATTCTTACATATACTGTTTTCCAAAAGACATACTTTAATTGCCAATAATAAAGAAGACAAGTAAATGTTATTCCTACCCCCAAAATGAATATATTTGATACAATTACCAAACACCAACAAGTTTCTCTTCGTGTTTCATATGGATAATGGAAGAATATTGAATAAAGAGGTTGACAAAAGATTTCCTTCAAATTTAGAATAGCTTCTACCTAAGAAGTTTGAAAAAAAGAAATGCTACAGCAATTAGAAGGCAATCATATCAAAGCCTGCATGGGAACTCAGAATCAGTCATGATCAATCAGGATTGACTAAGAAAGTTTTTGTCAATGTAACTAAGTTTGACACTTTAAAAATGTTACCGTAAATCCTGCCCCAACACTGTTCAAAATTTTTAATTGTGAAAATACACACAGTCTGTTATTGCAAACTTACCAAAACCTTTTCGGTCTGTAATGTGAAAAAAGAAGATAGTTGAATTTATACTGCATACAACCAATAGAACAGTTAGTTGACAGAGCCAAAAATATTAAGAATCCAACTTCACAACAGAGAATCGGGAAAAGCCAGGAGCCAAGTGCAACAGGATAATGTTCAACATAATGCCGTGGATTGCAGTGCTGACGGTATTCTGTATTTCAACTCATGTTCCCACAATTGTTTTTTGAAGGTTTCCTCTTAGCGATACAATATTGTATGATTTCTCCTTTTGATTCATTGAACATGTATGGAACACACATACAAACTGCTAGTCAATGTTAAGGTTGTGAAGCTTCAGCAGCAAAGAAAAACACATGTAGCTTATATTCCAGTGGAAACCAATTTTGACATGTCCATCATTAGAGTTGTATAAGTATGGATTACAAAGTCATTACAAAGTTAACAAAACTTTTTCAGTCTGTACTGTGAGAAAAACTACAAAAGATAGTTGCGTTTATAGTATATATAACCAATAGAACACTAGATAGAGCCACAAATAAGAATCCAACTTCAGAACAGAGAATGGGGAGAGGACAGGAGCCAAGTGCAACAGGATAATATTCAAAATAATGCTGTGGACTGCAGTATTGAGTGTACTCTGCATTTCAACTCGTTTCTGAAATTCTTTTTTGCAGTTTTCCTCTTCTGGATACCACTGAACAATACTGTACATTTTCTCCTTTTGATTCATTAAGCAAATGCATACTAAACACACATATAAAGTGCCAACCAATGTTAAGGTTGTGAAGATTCAGCAGTACAGGCACATGTAGCTGACATTCTCATGGAGATGAATTTTGGCAGTCCATCATTTGAGTCTTGTAAATGCCTGGACAAACGTATTCTTTCTAAGGCCTGTCTCCTGAATGGTAACTATAATTATCAAACTTCTGAAGTTTTATTGCACGACTTACAAGGATTTTTATTAAAGTGGTCCCGAGACCACTAGGGCATGCTGAGTTATGGCTGAAACACCAGCTTTAAGTTAAAGAAAAGTTTTCCCTCTTAAAAAACTGGATAAGCCAGGTGTGGTGGCTCACGCCTGTAATCCCAGCACTTTGGGATGCGGAGGCAAGAGGACTGCCTGAGCTCAGGGGTTCAGGACCACCTGGGCACCTTGGCAAGACCTCGTCTCTACAGTAAATCAAAAAATTAGCTGGGTGTGTTGGCATGAGCCTATAGTTCCAGCTACTTGGAAGGCTGAGGCGGAAGGATGCCTGAACCTAGCAGGTCGAGGCTGCAGTGGCCATGAGCATGCCGCTGCACTCCAGCCTGGGCGACAGAGTAAGATTCTGACTCAAAACAACAACAACAACCACCACCACAACAACAAAACTGGATAAAATGTGTCACCAGCATGGAATCGGGGATAAATGTTAAGATATGAACTCAAAGTGAAGTGCTAACCACGTCTCACACTTTCTCTCTTTTGTGAACTATCAGATGAGATTATATTCATGGGTAGACGTTATCACATAAATGACATTCCTGTCTTCTCTTCAATGTGGATACACTGATGAAGTTGAAGACTTGAGTCTTGACTAAAGCACATACCACACTCCTCACATTTCCATGTTGCTTCTCCTGGGTGGACCATCTGATGCATATCAAGATCCAAGCCCCTACTGTAGACCTTCTCACAGTCCTCACATTTGTATGGTTTTTCTACATTGTGAATTTTATCTTGGGCGTTAAAGAATGAACTGTGTACAAAGTCCTTCCCACAGTCCTCACATTTGAGTGCTGTTTCTCTGCTGTGGCGTCTCTGATGGGTCAGACGAGTCGAGGACCAGCTGAAGCCCTTCCCACACTCCTCACATTTGTATGGCTTTTCTCCAGTGTGGACTCTCTGATGGGAATGAAGTTGTGAATTCTGAGTAAAACTCTTCCCACACTCTTCACATTTGAATGGTTTTTCTCCACTGTGCAGTCTCTGGTGTTTCAGAAGACACGAGGCCCAACCAAAGCTCTTCCCACATTCTTTACAAATATAAGGTTTCTCTCCTGTGTGGACCCTCTGGTGCATGTCAAGATTAAACTTACTGTTGTAGCCCTTCCCACACTCCTCACATTTGTATGGCTTTTCTCCGGTGTGGACTCTCTGATGGGAATGAAGATGTGAATTTTGAGTAAACCTCTTCCCACACTCCTCACATTTGAATGGTTTTTCTCCACTGTGGAGTCTCTGATGTTTCAAAAGACATGGGGCCCGATTAAAGCTCTTCCCACATTCATTACAACTATAGAGTTTCTCTCCTGTATGGACTCTCTGGTGGAAGTTAAGATCCAATCTCCTTTGGTAGCCCTTGCCACACTCCTCACATCTGTATGGCTTTACTCCACTGTGGGCTCTCTGATGGGAAGACCGTTGAGAATTTGTATAAAATCCTTTCCCACATTCTTCACATTTGAATGGTTTTTCTCCACTGTGGACTCGCTGATGTTTCAAAAGACATGAAGACCATCTGAAGCTCTTTCCACATTCTTTGCAATTATATGGTTTCTCTCCTGTGTGGACCATATAATGGTTATAAAGATCTCGCCTACAAATAAAGCTTTTTCCACACTGCCCACATTTGTATGGTTTCTCTGCTGTGTGGACCATGCAATGACTATTAAGAGCTGATCTCTGACGAAAGTTCTTACCACATGTATTACATCTGAATGGTTTCTCTCCCGTGTGAACCCTGGAATGCCTATTAAGCCTTGATCTACCACGGAAGCTCTTACCACATATGTCACATTTGAATGGTTTCTCCCCAGTATGAATTCTCTGATGCTCTTGATACTGTGAATCAAAAATAAAGGCCTTCCCACATTCCTCACAAGTATAAGGTTTCTCTCCTGTGTGTAATTTAAAATGAACATTAAGTGCTGATCTTCGAGTGAAGCCTTTCCCACATTGCTCACATTTGAATGGTTTCTCTCCAGTATGGACGCTCAGGTGAGTCTGTAGATGTGAACTCTGACTGTACTGTTTGCCACACACATCACACCTATAGAGTTGCTCTCCCATGTGGACTCTCTGATGAATAAGAAGAGCTGAACTATAACAGAAGCTTTTCCCACACTTATCACATGTATGAGACTTCTCTCTTGAGGGTAATGGTTGATGAAAACCAAAGATGGAAACATCATTGAAGGATTGTTTATGTTCGGTATCTTGGTAATCTTCCTCTCCTAACTGAATTATAGATAGTTGTGCCTCAACATGGCAGGGCATAGCACCTTGTATGGAGAACTGAGAGCTATCTATCATGGAATTTTGAGACCCAGTTAAATCACTTGCGACTTGTTCCCAGATTTGCTGGTAGGAGAACTCTTCATCTGGTTCTGCTTTTATAAAAGTCTTCATCTCGGTTTGGATAATGTCTCCTATTAGAAAACAATTAAAGATGTGGACTAGTGAAGCCTATCAAGATTTCACATTTAGGACATGGCAAGACACTTTAATGAATACAGAAAACATTGAAAACAATGCATATTCCAAGTGCACCCTGGTCTCTGATTTGGATGAGGCCAATTTCGAACCAAAGCAAGTCTCATATGTAAAAAACTTGGTAGAGGTTGGGAACAGTGAATAATACCTGTAATCCCAACACTTTGGGAGGACAAGGTGGGAGGGTTGCTTCAGGCTAGAAGCTTGAGATCAGCCCGGGCAACATAGCTAGACTCCACTCTACTCCAAAAAAAAAAGGCTGGGCATGGTGACATATGTATGTATTCCCAGCTACTTGGGATGCTGAATCAGAAGGATCACTTGAGACTGGGAGTTCAAGGCTGCAGTGAGCTATGATTGTGCCACTGCATTCCAGCCTGGATGACAAAGTAATACCTTGTTCCTCTAAAAAAAACAAAGCAAAACAAAAAACTTGGTAGAAATAAAATACTTAATCCAAAAATTATATGATATATACATTTTACTTGTTACTATTCCTGGTGAATTTCCTAATCCATCTAAAATCTACGCTGGGCGCACAGGTTCTTACCTGTAATCTCGGCACTTTGGGATGCAGAGGCAAGAGGATCAACTATTTCCAGGGGCTTGAAATCAACCTGGGTAACTTGGTAAGAACTTGTCTCTACAATAAATGAAAAAAAATTAGCTTGGCATGGTGGTGAATGCCTGTAGTTGCAGCTACTTTGAAAGCTGAGGTGGAAGAATAGCCTGAGCCCAGCAGGTCAAGACTGTGGTGGCTGTGAACATCCTACTGCACTCCAGCCGGGGCGACAGAATAAGACTCTGACTCAAATAAACAAATAAATGTATACATACACAAAAACCCTGCATTGCAAATTATGAAAATAATAAATTATGGATATAATGAAATATGAATCAAAAGGAACTTTTAAAAAATGCAGTAAAATAATCAATGCTTTGTATATTTGCATTTATGTTGTATATCCTTATAAAGTAAAGAAATTAACCTAACTTGAAATGAGGTCTGTTCTTTGTCCTCAGCATCTGAAAGGTAATCTCTAGTCTTTTAAAATGTCTTTTGTCTGCCTGGGGACAACACTTGGTCACTATGAAAAGTGAAACAATATGATTTAGGATTGTGGCAATCCCTATGTAAGAAAGAATAATATGATTTAAAGTGCAGTTTTACGTCACATGGAATCAGTGAACCAGGGGATTGATTAACCACATGGGAATCAATTAACTAACAATATTTATGAAATGGAGTCTTAGTATTACTCTGAAAACGAGGGCTCAGGTGAGCTTCCCTAATTGGCTGTATACTCTTAAGTCACACCTTAAAACTGGAATATAATTCATCCTAATCTACTGAGAGAATACAATAGAAGGTCCTTATCTGGTAATTTCTAGGACTGTTTCTTATGTGATCTTTTTCTTGGCAAATTGTAATATGCATCTTTTCCCTGTAAAAATCCATAATTGAGTATAAAAGCATTCAATGTGTTCTGCTTGTCTTTCTAATGAATTACTGAATATGAGGGCAATTTTGAGAAATTCCCAAATTTGCAGTTGGTATGAAATGATGGCAGTCTCTGTACGCTTTCCTCTAAACTTTATAGATAGCTAAATCTTTCACAGTGCTGAGTAGCAAACACCTAGGAATGTTTATGTCTATATATTCAGAGTATTCCTACATAAGAATTTTGTACAGCATGTATACTTAAATCTTATTTTTCTGTGTAGATATAAATAATGACTTGGTTATCTATAGTTTTGATTAGAATCTGAAAAGCTGTACCTGACAGGAGAACGCAAAGGGGGATGCTGCTGATGGGACAATAAAAGGTGGCAAGAATCATTTGGGATGAAAAGATTGCCTGAGGGGTATGTCCTGGTTGGTTCTATGGGAGGATATAGGATTCTCATTGAAAACACTGCACAGAAAATATATGATGTAGATAAATAACCCTTTACACCCATTTTCAAATAGAAGAATATAGATTACAAGTGAGTTGTAAAGTAATTTTTTTTTTTGAGTTGGAGTCTCACTCTGTCTCCCAGGCTGGAGTGCAGTGGCATACTCATGGACAATGCAGGCTCAACCTGCTGAACTCAGGTGATCCTTCCACTTCCGCCTCCCAAGTAGTTGGAACTACAGTGTGTGCCACCATGCCCAGCTAATTTTTTTATTTATTGCAGACACGAGGTCTCGCCATGTTGCCCAGGATGGTCTTGAACCTGTGGGCGCAGGCAATCCTCTCACTTCTGCCTCCCAAAGTGCTGTGATTACAGGCATGAGTTGCCATGCCTGGCTTAAATTTAAAATCTTCTATATGGCCAGGTTCGGTGGCTCAGCCTGTAATCCCGAGCCTTTGGGAGGCTGAGGTGAGTGGATT